TTGTCTGATTTACACTCATTACGATGAAGTCATGACAAATCATTTCCAGGACTGTTGTCAAAATGTCATGTTGTCTCATTTTTTCAGAGAAGTTAAATAACCTGGTGACATGGTGACGTAGTGACACCCTCAGTTCTTCAAAAAAAATTAATTATTGAATAACCTAAAAACCATAAACGTAAACATTAACGATAAAATTATTTCCAGGACTGTTGTCAAAAATGTCATGTTGTCTCATTTTCAGAGAAGTTAATTAACCTGGTGAGATGGTGACGTAGTGACACCCTCAGTTCTTCAAAAAATAATTAATTATTGAATAACCTAAAAACCATAAACGTAAACATTAACGTAAACATTTATTTTTGGTCGTTTATGACAAAAATAAATGGTTCATTTACTCACAAATATTTTGTACAAAACGACCCCAAACTTTTAACTTCTTTTCTGCAGCTTCTAATGCTATCTTAGCGAGTTCATATTCTCTAAATTCTCTCTTTAAATCTTCTTGTTCCCATTGGTCTAGTTCGTATGGAGAATCTCTATAACCATAATATATCTCACGTTCATGTTCTAATTGTTTTTCACACATTTTCCTAACTTCTTGTTCGAACAAAGGTTTAGCATTCTCTACTGTATCTTCAAGTTCTTCTTCATCTAATTTCTCATGAACTTTCTTGTCTATGGAGTCCATAATTTTTCCAACTGCTATGCAATATTTTGGAGAAGCCCACATTGCTATATAGTTTATAAGTCTTGGGTCTACATACGTTCCTCTAACTTGTTTGATTTCATCAGGAATTCCTGCATGAATTTTGTATAAAAAGCAACCGTCTGAATTCCCGCGTTGCTATATTCTTCACAAAATGCCTTATAATACTCTTCCCAGGACTTATTTTCCAACAACTTTCTAAAGTCTTTCCTAAACTGCTGACACATATTTGTTGCATTAATGTAACCATCCTTGTCTCTACGTAAGACTTCAATACCGTTATAAGTGCCTTTTGTGAATGTTTCGCCATTAGATTTGTTCGTGAATGTTTTTGCTTCGACTGACATTTCTGTTCTTACACACAAAATAAAAAAATAAAAATAATTCATAAATGCCTTCCTCCAGGACTGTTGTCAAAATGTCATGTTGTCTCATTTTTTCAGAGAAGTTAATTAACCTGGTGACATGGTAACATGGTAGCACCTTCAGTTCTTCAAAAATAATTAATTATTGAATAACCTGAAAACATGAGACTTTGTCTCCGGACTCTTTGAGTCACTTAACGTAAACATATATTTCTGCAGTTCATCCATTACTTCATTACCTAATTAATTACAGACATAAAATATATTTAGTTCATTCGGTAAGCCTTGACCCAAAGGTCTGGGCTCAAGTGTGTTTATTGAACGCGGTACCATGCGAATACAGTCACAAATGGTGGCATGTAATCTTTACCCGAGCCTGTTGGATTTGTTGTGAAAGTGTGTGAATGATTCCCTGTGGTTCCACAGAAAATACCTGTGCTTGAATCTACTGGGTCAGTTGTGATATCATATCTATTCATTCCCCATCTATCCGAACCCGCTGCAAGCATTTGTATAACCTCTTTTTGTTATTGAATGTGAATGATTACCTGTTGTGTTTGTAGTTCCTGTATGAGTGTGCGGTGGAAGGTTTGCTTCTTTAATTTTCTTCGAACCTCCTGTTTGCTTTTGAATATCTAGCACAGTATAAGAATTTATCTACAATCTGCTTCCACGTACCAAAACCTAAAACACTTGCTGGATTTGTTGAGTTCATTACGTATAAATAGAACCAAAGGATATAATGTTTGAAGTATTTCATTTTTCATGCTTGTAATCACATCATTTACTTCCGACTTCTTTGCATAATTTTCATCAACATAGTTTTACTGCTTTAAGTCTAAACATCCTGAAACCCATTCTGTATCGGCTTTAACTTTAAAAGTCTCAAATGTCCATTCATGATACCATTCAACCTTTTCTTTAATTTCATTATCTTTTCATCAACATAAACCAAATTTGCCTTCTTATTTAACTCACTATCCACATATTCCTTATCCACCTTCTTCATTATGTCATTTAGGAAACCTTCTATGAATTCTCATTTAAATTAAATCTTCCAATCTTCAAAACTTTAGGAAATGCATTTAATGCGTAATATCTCTGTTCTTCTGGTGGAATTGATGTTATATCATCCGTTATTCCTTTAATTTTGAATTCATAAATAAAATTCTTTTATATTTGATATCACTGCACCACCTTTGCAAACGAATTCGAAATGTTCATTTTTCAATACTATCTCCAAATCTCCATATTTCAACCTTTGCGTTGTTCTGCCGTCTTTGAATTATATGCATATATGGCGTATGTAATGGTCTGAAGGACCTGGGTGTTTTGCGCCTTAAGTTGCTGTTGTTTAATCATTTATTATGATTTAAAAATAAATATTTAATCCGTTATCTCATCGGCTATTTTCTCTATTTGAAATTGCCATAATATTTCATTCATAAATTCTAAATCACAATCAAATAGGTCAGTTATTCTAAATTTAATATTTGATAAATCTTTTTGAATGAAGAATAATGAATTCCCGGATAATTGAAATGGATATGATAAAGAAAATGTGTTTAAGTTGATGGATAAAATGTTTTGTATTGATGGGTAAGAGTTAGGGTCTAATTTTGATGTGAAAATCTCATTGGGGTATTAACTTTATCACATTTGATTAAAATGAAATTGGAACCAGTGTCAGAATACAAAACATCCCAACATCTTTTCAAATTTAATATTTCCAACAATGAACGAAGATGAGGAGTACAAAATTTAATTTTCAGCGGAATTTAATAAGGTTATTTATTTCATCAAGTTCAAAAAGTTTATCGGGTTTTGATTTAAAATTTTCTTCATACCATACGATAAATGATTCATTTAAATAACTTAAAATCATGTTAATATCCCATTTCCTATCACATTATTTATATACATATCATACGTTTTTTTCAAGGTCATCTTTAATAAATGATATATAATCTGAAGGGTCTAAAAAGAATGGGATTAAATTTACCACTCACAGAAACGAGAGTAACATTATAAATTCCGCTAACTGTTAAATTTAATTCACAACTATTATTCGAAATAATATTGATAATTACATTTTTATTACGAATAAAAATATGGTAAAGCGTTATTTTCCAATGATAAATAAACTAGAAAAGATTACCTCAAGAATTCATAAATTCAACGAATAAGAAATTCATTCATGTTATAAATTTTAGTGTTTTCAGAAAATATGAGTCAGTGTCATATTCATCAACAGGTTATATTTCACTTCATTCAAATTTAGTTCAATCAAACCATATAATGACCATTTCATAAGATTTTCAGATGGTATTAAAAATGTAATTGATAGATTAAAATATGAACAGATTGACAATATCGAATTTTGGAATTTTGGTTTAAATATCCCGATGGAAAAAAGATTGAAGTTAAAGATAAAGCTGATACTATAACAAAAACAATTACAATGACCGATCCAGATAGTGGGGAACAAAAAGAAAATAAACAAACGATAGAAACTGGTGAAAGGTCAATTATTATTGATTATGATTCAAAGGATTATTATTCAATAATGTTAATGCTTGAATATTAAATAGCCTTAACAAAGAATTTTTCAAGTGATATTTTATATTCATCAACTATTTTATTATAATATCATTATATGTTAAATGAAGTTCAGTTGTTGTTCCGTTCTTTGATATCTTAATTGTGCTAATATCCTTTATAGGATTTATTTTTGCAACTGTTCCGCAGCATAAACCTCATCATCTATGAAAAATTGAATCTTAACGTCTGAATCTTGAACATCACAAAGAATGGCGATAATGTGAATTAATGATTCATAAGGTAAAATAATTAAACCGGATTGATCAATTAAATTTATTATTGAATCATAATTATTAATTATTATATCACGGTAAATTTTCATTAATTCAGAATTAATGTCTATTTTATATGGGTTTCTCGATGTTTGATGAAAGAGGTGGGGGTATGTTGGATAAGTGGGAATTTCAACAGGTTCTTTACCGGGTTCAGATAAAATGATTGGGTCTCCATCTTCTTTATTTTGCTCCTCTCCTTTTTCGGTAAGTCACGAGTTAATAAATTTGGTTGAGTTGCTGACCTTGTTAATTCAGGGCTAACATTAACTTTAACATTTTGAATAATTCGTGATTTATCATCATTTACGTTATAACCAACCGTAATCTCTGCTTTTGCGTTAGTGTTCTTTTGACTAGTGAAACGTCTTCTCATTTATATTCGAATAAAAAAATATATTTAAACTTTTATTTTGCTGGAACTTTTGAATCTATTATTCCCTGTATTTGTTCATGAAGTTGATTTTTAGCTGTTTCATCGAAATTAATAGACCGAATATATTCATTAATTGCATTCTTATAATCATCTGATTTCTCAAATTTTCTTTTATCTGATTCCTTAACTAAATCATAAGTTAAACCGTTGCTGATATAATGGTTTCTTAATTAAATCTTTGAATGCTTGAGATAAAGCACCTGATGCAATTCTTGCTACTATAATTGGTTGGAATTGCTGTTTAAGTTCATCTTTAACATTTGCGAAAACTGGATCGAATAAAGCAACTTTAAAGAATTTCTTAGCTGAAATTTCAGGTCTAATATTTGCATATTGACCATCAAACTGGTTAGAATATCGTGGTAATCCATCCGGTCCCTCTTCAATAGCATTTAATTCTTCATTGAAATAAGAATATGGATTATGACGGTATGAATTAATTGGACCATTTTCACCTTCTCCAATGTATTGTTTAACAGCTTTTCCATTTTCATCAAATTGCATAGGATAACGTTCATTATATGCTTTACGTTTAGGATAATCAGATAGTTAATTTATAACCATTTATGACTTTAATATTACCTTGACCATCAGTAACGAAAACTTCATTTATACCATCAGGTTTTCCATTTGGACCCGTAATGTCTGCTTCGTGTGCTTCCCAATTTGGACCATGACGTTTGGCATATGCTTGAGCTTCTGGTAATGTTAAAACGTTTCTCATTTGTTTAACATCTTTTTGAAGACCAGCAACAATATGAACTAATTCTTTCATTCCATCAGGAACTTTCATAGTTCTATTATATGCACCCTTTTTGTTTGTCCCTTGTTTTAATGGAACCTGTAGAAGATTTGCCATTTCTGTCATGTTTAATTATAAATAAAAAATAAAAATTAATTATAAAAAGTTAATCAAATTTAACACTTCCTTTATTTAAATCAACTATTATTTTTCCATGTTCACCTAATTGCTGATATTGTGTGTAAAGTTCATTAATGCTCATTGGTAAATTCACTTGATAAAGCATAACGTTCAACTGTTGACGACTAAACCCACTGAAAATGAAAAGTGTTGATAGATTTGATTTAATGTTTGTGCTTAATGCTTTGAAGTATTGAACAGCCATAAAGAATGAACACTGAATGTGTCGACATTGAGTTAATAACTGATTAAAATATGATTTCTCATTTGTTATTAGTTTTGATTTCACTGCATCATCTAGAAAAATGAGTGAATGCAAAAATTCTCTATCAAAATTTGAAATAGAAAGTGTTTCAAATAATTCATCCCGTTGTTTATCAATAATTTTATCCTCTAATCCTTGCTTCTTGATTGTATTATATAATTCTTTATACATTAAAAAGTTTTTTAAATAATCTTCTGCTTCTTCTTGTGATAAATAAATAATTGGAATTTTGATTAAATGCTTTAAAGATTCAAATGTATCATCTGAAGGTGAACCTGAACGGTTGATATAAATTAACACATGTGAATAGGGGGAAGTGTTAGCAATAATGATAATTTGTTTTAATATCGTTAATGTTTTACCTTTATTTTGTTTACCAATTGCTGCAGTGATTGAATTTAAGTAACATTCAGAATATGGAATTTTCATTAATTTTTCCTTAGATAGAGCATTTCTATTATCACTCAATGCTTCATTAATCATATCATCTACGTATGTATTATATACTCCTGCTAATTCTTCATAAGGGGTGGATGAATTTAAATCCATTTAATCAAAAATAAATTTATAATTTTAAACATTTCTATTCATCAATATTTCATCATATGAACTTCTATACTGTGGTGGTGTACCTGTTGGATGATATTTCAAACCTTCATCCGGTGTCCATGTCCAATATGTAGTCCTAGTAAACCAAACCTGAGGAGGATTTGTCACCTTTGAACAGTAAGTGTCATTTTCACCCTGAATGATTGGATAAGCTTTCACTTGTACTGTAACTTGTGAGTTGAAAGTTTCTAATCCATCAAAGAATATACCCGCTCCATCACGTTGAACTGGAATAGTGCATAAGAATGAAGTTTGGTCTTTCCATGTTCTAGCTAATGGCGTGCCATCATCATCATTCAGTGGTCTAGTTAATGAGTCCTCGTATTCTTCTGTGCATTCATTCACTCCATCTAAATCAGAAGCTTGAAGCATACGTGTAAAGAATATGTCACCCACTGTGGTCATCGCTTGATCGGGGAAGTTTCTGGAATCTATAGTGACCTGAAGACCTCGAAGCATTGGATTTTCTAAAACTGTTCTTTGCATTGCATTCTTCGGAAATGTTAACACAACATCTGTAACATTATGAAGAGCGTATGAGAAATCTGAGCTAATACCTTCAGGAGTGATGCAACCTCCATTTAGTGAACGAACGTCAATATGTTGAGCTGGAATCATGAATGGATCTTCCTTACTGAATAAACGTGGTATTGCTTTAACTGATTCTTCAATTAAACCGTATCCTGGTGTAATGCATTTATCCTCTAAAACTTCCATCTTTGTGCATGAAATAATAACGTCATCAACTGTTGCGTCAGCAGATGTAGCGGCTAAGCTTGTAATTAATTTGGCAGGAAGTCCGATTTGTTGGAATTTGCGATCATATTTATAAACATGATTCATAATCTTTTCATAATTTTCATCAGTTATCTTTTCATAAACGTAATTTTGTAAATCAGCAACTCTTAACGGGTCAACCTGACAAAATACTAAAGTATCCCTGAAAACATAATATTTAAGAATGATATCACCAAATGATTTAGGATAATCATCGAACGCCTGAAATGCTAACAAATCATTTACCGGAATAATCATATCAAAAGTGACATCAACTTCTTCATTTGCTTTCTTGAAAACTTCTGAAGGGTCAATATATTTACCACATACTGAGTTATCATATTTTTGAACATTATTATATAACGAATGAACAAACTTTTTAACTTTCCTTTCTGATTTTGGTTTATATGTTGCAAATGCGAAAGATTCACGGGCGCAATCCATCTGAAGATAACCGGCATCACCTCTTTCGGTTTCTACTTCTAATTGTTTAAAGCTTTGATTTGATGATTTGTAACCAACGAATAAACGCATGCATTTAAAAGCGGCATCACATGTGAAAGCTTTATTTGAAACTAGAGTTGCTTTAACTTTGCGTTTAATATATGTGTCACCTAATTGGTTCACATCATGAGCCGGATTTGTAATTCTTAAATGAGTTTGTTTATCATCAAAATATGGAGTATCAGAGTCATAGCATGAACTTTCAAGTTCTCTATAATATCTTCTACCGTCATTCTTTGCGAATATTTCATTTATCTTTTCGAATGAATGAAACACATTTCCATTAATCGGTTTAGTGTTTGGCACCAAATAGTTAGTCGTCATTTATTATTAAATAAAAAATCAAAATTAAAAGATGAAAATGAATTTTTAATTTTAATGAAATAATCAACTATGGCTGCAGGTATATTTAAGAAACTGTGGGATAAAGTAAAAAGAGGAGCGCATAAAGTTTGGGAAACAATGAAGAAAGGAGCAAATTGGATATTTAAGAATAAAGAAGCAATTAGTGACGTTGCTGAATCAATAACACCAAAAGCTGCCCCAATAAGAGAAGTTTTAAATAAAGGAGAAAAAGTTTATCAAAGACTACAACCGATACTAAGATAAAAATAATATTTATTTATTTTTCCACTATCTACCTCCTATTTTATTAAGTATTCCTTCAGCTATTCCACCAATTGCGTTACCTGCTTGTGCTCCCATCGCCGGATTACCTGCTTTAGTACCTAATACCCCACCTATGATAGTTCCTGCCGTTTTCGCTACTGGTGCCAAAAGTTTGCAATGGGTTTAATAATCTTTTTATGAACCCAACCCGCAGCTTTCTTAATTCCATCCCATAATTTTTTAAAGAATCCTGCCGCCATTTCTGATTTAATATTAATTAAAAAATATATTTCATCACTTATATTCTAATTTTTATTTAATGATAAATGAAACCGATTTTAAAAATAAATGAAACAGAGGAGGAAGAAATAAATGAAAGTGAAAATGTTCAACAAAAAATAAACGTTGTTAAACCAATTACTGAAATAAAAATTTTTTCATCTGTTGAAGAATTTAATGACTATTATGCTAACAATAAAAAATTATTTGAAGAATTGACAACGTGTAAATTGAATAAAATGTTTAAAGTTGATGGATTCAAAATTTCAAAAAAAAAAGGGGGTTAGTTTGAAATCTATTCCTCAATCAAGAATCACCTCATTAATGAAAATAGATGATTTAACAAAAAGAATAGAAGAGATTGAAGAAAGAGAAATCAATAATTGATTTCATAAATTCAAATAATCATTAGTTTCTTAAAGTTCTATGTTGAACTCATCAAATTCTTCTTCATCATTACCATTACTCTTTCAACTCTATCTTTTGATAGTCTTGCGTTTAATTTTTCGTAAGAAGTTTATTTTTTAAAAATTTTTTATTTTTTCATTTTTTATTTCATTATGGTAGTGAATCTTTTATTCATGAAAATAATTATTTCTAATTTCTTTTACTCGTTTATGAGGTCTTTGATTATGACTCCATTGATTCCATTCAGGATTTAAACAATGTTTAATTAATCGCGGAATATCTGACATCATCTATATATAGCTTCTTTTATAAAAGATAAAAAATAAATTATTTTAAAATTAATGTTAATTTTTAATGATTTATTTCATTATGTTTGGGCTGAGTGTAAATGTCTTACAATTTTGAAAATTTTTTAAATCTTGATTTATTCAAAAATAAGAATAAAAACCGTAAGAATCATACATTTTTTACTTCATATGTTAAAAAAAATGATACAAAATCGCTCGATATTGTATGAATTCTTACGTTTACAAAAAAAGTCACACAACCCTTCCACATATACTACTAATGTGAATATCAAGCTAAAGTTGCATATCATCCAAAAATATATTATGTAACAACACAAATTTGTTTTGATACTCAAATACTCTGCAAATTTTTGTGTTTAAAACTAAATGCACATTCCTCAAATAAGGAAAGCTTCACTTGAAGATTACATAGCAAAATAAGGGCTAGCACCTGAGTCTTTTTGGAATTATCTGGCCAAGATTACAATTGATTAGAGTTTCAACAATTGGAATAACTCATTTGACTGATTTTAAATCAATGAACAAATAATTGGATGTAAATGATAAAATTTATGCATATCATTGCAATAAATCAAAATTATAAATCATTTTTAGAAGTAGTAGGATAAGGCGGGGTGTGTGACTTTTTTTGTAAACGTAAGAATTCATACAATATCGAGCGATTTTGTATCATTTTTTTAACATATTAATTTTAAATTAAAGTTATTTTTTTATTCTTACATAAATGACCCAACAAGTAAAACCAGATAAAATAGATTATCGAATTTTAGAGGATGGTGTTCCTGTTTATATTCAAAGATTTAAAGGGAAGCAATATTATAGAATTGTTAATCCTGAATACATAAAACATTTATTTAAAAAGGAAGACTGTGAATTATTAAACGTTAATGAATATGAAACCAATAAATCAAAATTGAAATATAAATATATTGGAAGTGATGAAAGATGCAAAGATAAAGATAAAGTTTATACAGTTTCATATAATGAATGGAAAACCAATAAGATAAGAAAACATTTAGGAGATTATGGTAAAAG